GAGACAGCCCTACAATAATAGTAGGAGACTTCAACACACCACTTTCAGTGAAGGACAGAACACCCAGAAAGAAGCTCAGCAAAGAAGACATGGAAGATCTAAATGCTACATACAATCAACCAACTTGATCTCATAGACATGTACCAAACACTCCACCCAACAGCAGCCAAGTATACTTTCTTTTCCAACGCACATGGAACATTCTCCGGAATAGACTACATATTAGGCCATAGAGCAAGCCTTAACAAAATCCAAAGCATCAAAATATTACAAAGCATCTTTTCTGACCATAAAGCCATAAAAGTAGAAATCAGTAACAAAAAAAGCAAGGAAAAAAAATCAAACACATGGAAACTGAACAACACCTTGCTCAAAAACTACTGGCTTATAGAAGAAATTAAGGATGGAATAAAGAAATTCATAGAATCAAACAAGAATGAAAACATATCCTACCAGAACCTTTGGGACACAGCAAAAGCAGTGCTTAGAAGTCAGTTTATAGCAATAAATGCACACAACCAAAAAGAAGAAAGGGCCAAAATCAAAACATTAACCCTACGACTCGAACAAGTAGAAAGAGAGCAGCAAAAGAAGCCCTCGGGCACCAGAAGAAAAGAAATAATAAGAATTAGAGCAGAATTAAATGAAATAGAGAATAGAAAAACAACTGAAAGAGTTAACAACAAGACCAAAAGCTGGTTGTTTGAAAAGATCAACAAAATTGATACACCACTGGCCAAACTGACAAAAGAAAAACAGGAGAAGAAGCAAATAACCCATATAAAAAATGAGATGGGTAATACCACAACAGACCCAACTGAAAGTAAAAGAATCATAACAGAATACTATGAAAAACTGTACTCGAACAAATTTGAAACTCTAGAGGAAATAGACAAATTTCTAGAAACTCACTACCTACCTAAACTAACACAAACAGAGGTAGAATAACTAAATAAACCTGTAACAAAAGGAGATTGAAAACGTAATTAAAAAACTGCCAACAAAAAAAGCCCTGGCCCAGATGGCTTCACTGAAGAATTCTACCAAACTTTCTGAGAAGAGTTAACACCACTACTGCTAAAGGTATTGCAGAGCACAGGAAAGGATGGAATACTCCCAAACTCATTCTACGAAGCCAGCATAACCCTGATACCAAAACCAGGCAAAGACACCACAAAAAAAGAAAATTACTGACCGATACCCCTCATGAACATTGACGCAAACATCCTCAACAAAATTCTAGCCAATAGAATTCAGCAACATATCAAAAAAATAATTCATCATGATCAAGTGGGATTTATACCAGGTATGCAGGGATGGTTCAACATTAGAAAAACAATCAATGTAATCCATCGTGTTAATAAAACAAAAGACAAGCACCATATGATCTTATCAATCAATGCAGAAAAGGCATTTCACAAAGTCCAACACCCATTCGTGATAAAATCTCTCAACAAAATAGGAATAGAAGGGAAATTCCTCAACATAATTAATGGCATTTATTCAAATTCAACAGCCAACATCATCCTAAATGGAGAGACTTTGAAAGCATTCCGCTTGAGAATGGGAACCAGACAAGGATGCCCTTTATCACCACTCTTATTCAACGTTGTGCTGGAGGTCCTAGCCATAGCAATTAAGCTAGAAAAAGAAATAAAGGGCATCCAAATTGGTAAGGAAGAAGTAAAAGTATCTCTACTTGCAGATGATATGATCTTACACACAGAAAACCCCAAAGAATCCACAAGAAAACTACTGGAACTAACAGAAGATTTCAGCAAAGTATCAGGATACAAGGTAAACATACAAAAATCAGTTGGATTCCTTTACAACAACAAAGAGAACTTCCAAGAGGAAATCACCAAATCAATACCATTTACAATAGTCCCCAAGAAGATAAAATACTTAGGAATAAATCTAACCAGAGCCGTAAAAGACCTATACAATGAAAACTACAAGGCACTACTGTAAGAAACCAAAAGAGACCTGTGTAAGTGGAAAAACATACGTTGCTCATGGATAGGAAGACTCAACATTGAGAAAATGTCAATTCTACCCAAATACAATGCAATCCCGATTCAAATTCCAACCACATTTTTTAATGACATGGAGAAACAAATCACCAACTGTATATGGAAAGGGAAGAGGCCCTGGGTAAGTACAGCATTACTGAAGAAGAAGGACAAAGTGGGAGGCCTCACATTACCTGATTTTAGAAACTATTATACCACCATGGTAGTCAAAACAGCCTCGTACTGGTATAACAACAGACACATAGACCAATAGAACAGAATTGAGAATCCAGACGTAAAATCATCCACCTATGAGCAGCTGATATTTGACAAAGGCCCAAAGTCCATTAATTGGGAAAAAGGCAGTCTCTTTAACAAATGGTGCTGGCATAACTGGATATTCATCTGAAAAAACTGAAACAAAACCCATACCTCACACCATGCACAAAAACTAACTCAAAATGGATCAAAGACCTAAATCTAAAATCTAAAATGATAAAGATCATGGAAAAAAAAATAGGGACAACGCTAGGAGCCCTAACACATGGCATAAACAGAATATGAACCATAAGTAACAATGCACAAATACCAGAAGAGAAACTAGATAACTGGGAACTCCTAAAAATCAAACAGTTATGCTCATCAAAAGACCTTACCAAAAGAGTAAAAAGACAACCTACAGACTGGGAAAAAACTGTTGGCTACGACAAATCCAATCAGTGTCTAATCTCCAAGATACTGCAAAACCTCAACAACAAAAAGACAAATAACCCAATTAAAAAATGGGCAAAGGATATGAATAGGCACTTCACCAAAGAAGACATTCAGGCAGCTAACAGACACATGAAGAAATGCTCACGATCATTAGCCATTAGAGAAATGCAAATCAAAACTACAATGAGACACCATCTCGCCCCAACAAGGCTAGCATTAATCCAAAAAACACAAAATAATAAATGTCGGAGAGGTTGTGGAGAAACTGGAACACTTATACACTGTTGGTGGGAATGTAAAGTGCTACAACCACTTCGGATATCAATTTGGTGCTTCCTTAAAAAGCTAGAAATAGAAGTACCATACAATCCAGCAATTCCCCTCCTTGGAATATATCCTAGAGAAATAAGGGCCGTCACACGAATAGATATATGCACATTGATGTTCACTGCAGCACTGTTCACGATAGCAAAAAGATGGAAACCTAGGTGCCCATCAACAGACAAATAGATAAATTATGGTATATTCACACAATGGAATACTACGCAACAATAAAGAACAATGATGAATCCGTGAAACGTAACATGGAGGAATCTGGAGGACATTATGCTGAGTGAATTTAGTCAGTCACAGAAGGACAAATATTGTATACGACCACTATTATAAGAACTCATGAAAAGGTTTAAACACAGAAGAAAACATTCTTTGATGGTTATGAGGATGGGGAAAGAAGGTGAGTGTTATTCACTAACTAGATAGTAGACAAGAATTATCTTAGGTGAAGGACAGCCCACACTACAGGGGAAGTCAGGACAACTGGTCTAAACCAAAGCTAAGAAATTTCCTGAATACAATGAAACACTTCAAGGGACAGAGCAGCAGGGGCGGCGGTCTGGGGACCATGCTTTCAGGGGATATCTAGATCAATTGGCATAACAAAGTTTATTAAGAAAATGTTCTGCATCCTACTTTGGTGAGTGGCATCTGGAGTCTTAAAAGCTAGCAAGTGGCCATCTAAGATGCATCAATTGGTCCCAATCACCTGGAATATAGGAGAATGAAGAGCACCAGAGACACAAGGAAAGTATTAGCTCAAGAAACAGAAAGGGCCACATAAACCAGAGACTCAATCAGCCTGAAACCAGAAGAACCAGATGGTGCCCGGCTACCACCAATGACCGCCCTGACAGGGAACACAACAGAGAGTCCCTGATGGAGCAGGAGAAAGGTGGGATACAGAACTCACATTCTAGTAAAAATACCAGACTTAATGGTCTGAGACTGGAGGAACCCCAGAAAGCACGGCCCCCGGACTCTCTGTCAACCCAGAACTAAAACAATTCCTGAGGCCAACTCTTCAGACGAAGATTAGACTACGGGACATAAATTGATCCTCGTGAAGAGTGTGCTTCTTAGCTCAAGTAGATACATGAGACTATATGGGCAGCTTCTGTCCAGAAGTGAGATGAGAAGGCAGAGAGGGTCAGGAGCTGGTTGAATCGACACAGGAAATCAGGGGTGGAAAGGAGGAATGTGCTGTCACAGTCTAGGGAGAGCAATTAGGGTCACATAACAATGTATGTATAACTTTTTGTATGAGAGACTAACTTGAATTGTAAACTTTCACTTAAACTACAATAAAACAAAAAAGATTTTTGTACCTAGATAAAAAAAAAAAAAAATGATTTGTATCAGCAGGATCCTAGCAGGAAGCAACAGAACACTCAGGAAGTATCTGAGGAGAGTTTAATAAAAGGGCTACATACAAATGTGAGCACCGATTAAGGGAAACCAGTAAGGGATAATGCAGTACCCATGGCCAGCACCAGTGGGGAGCCACTATCACCCTAAAGGCCTGAAGGGGCCAGGGGAGGCAGTGGTTAATGGTAACCCAGAGAGAGAAGTAAGATAGGTATTGTAGCAACCTGTAGCAACCCAACAGCAAGGAAGCTGAGGGAATAAATGCTCCAGCCGCTGATCTGGTAGTGCCTCAGTCAAGAGTGGACTTGGAAAGAAAATCCAGCACATAAAGTAAACTGTGATTACGTCTCAGTCAACTTTGTAAGCTCTAATTTATAGGGTAAGCGATAAAAGACGGATACTTTTAAAAATTTTTTTGATACTTTATCCAGAGAATATGGAGTCCAATCTAAAATTTTAGCAAGATCTTTCATAATTTAATTTGTTGTCAATCTTTTCCCTGTTTGGGCATGACCATTAAATGGCACAGCTCTACAAAGCTACATTAAGGGTAAGAAAAAGGATTTATCTTACCTCTCTAAAAAAGACATCTGCAGGAGTTAGGTTTGATGGAATTTCACACTCCCTTTTGTTTAAAGCAATTAATATAGCTGTGTTCACAAGGTCAGAAAGTCTGGAGTGGTGGTTCTTGAGAACAATAGCAGCTGACAACTTTTCTGCATGCTCACAGAGCAAGAGTCGAGTTGCCATTGGCATTCTTCTTACTACAAAAGTGCTGAGACGTCCAAATAAGCCAACCTTGTAAAAAACAAATAAATATTCTTAGAAAGCATTTACAGTAACATACAAAATAACGCAGTCCCATTTTCACCAGAAGCACACTGGGTACGGAGTCTCTAGCCCTAACTCTCTCCCAGAGAGCACTTACAGCTGTCTCTCCTTTTGGCTGCAACTGTTTCCAACATACTACATACATACAAGTTAGTCAGGGCTGTTCCTTTTTGTAAGAAAGCATAAAAGTTCCTGTCTAAGGTCAGGGCCATGCCAGAGTTTCTGTACACCACTGTGGTTTCTACCCATCGTTATTACCAAATTATTATTTATGGTTTATCAAAATGATCCAATTGCTCTTTTCTATCTATACCAATTAACTACCCTACATTCCAGACCTTTTGGAACTAGAAACTCAGCAGCCACCAACTTTGCTAACAGGCCCTCCAGCTCAGCCTGCCCTCTAGCTAAATGTAGTTATACGGGTGGTCCCAGTGCCCAATAGGGTAGCCACTATTTCATTTACATTTCTGCATTTATTAATATACATTTAAATTTTGGAGCCCTGGTGGTGCAGTGGTTAACTGTTCAGCTGCTAATCAAAAGGTCGGCAGTTCAAATCCATCAGCTGCTCCTTGGAAGCCCTATGGGACAGTTCTACTCTGTCCTATAGGGTCACTATAAATCGGAATCAACTGGATGACAATGGCTTTGGGTTTTTTTGTTTTTTTTTTTTAGTAATGGCTACTTAAACATAAATTAATTAAAATTAACTTTTAAAAAACTTAGCTCCTCAAGGGCTCAATAACCACATGTGGCTAGTGGCCACCACACTGGGCACAACAGATATAATACTTTTCCATCATCACACAGAAAGTTCTACTGGACAGCACTGACTACAGTCTCCCCAAAATGGAAGCATTACTGATTTAAAAAAAAAAAAAAGCAAAAATAGGATTACATTCATTAATTTGGGTATGTACCTAGGAATCACTATTTATTGGCAAGGCAATGATGGATGATTTATTTTATGTAACAGTTCTGTCCAGCAGCAAAAACATTTTCTAATTTAGATACAATATAAGAAATAGAATATTTAAATTAGGATTTGAATCTAACTGCACTTCAAATTTAAAATCCAGATATATAAATCTGTCTTCAACTTACTATTCCTCATTGTTTTTCTAATAATACAAAATCAATTTATGAAAATCTGTTTTTACATAAAAGCACACAAGAAATATGAGTGAAATTCTGCTTTTAAAAGCATTTTTTTTCTTTTAATCTTATTTCCAATGTAGCTTTTATACCAAATAATAAGCCGCCACACACCCTGAGATTGTTTACTTTTAAATCAGCACAGAAAATGGAAAACATTTGTCATGCTCCACCAAAAAAAAAATGCCTCAGAATAAAAGAAGGGGTTTCCCCTTGTACTGAGGAGATGGTAAAGCCAGATGTCTGGCCATCCCTGGTGCTCAGCCACTGGGAGTCTTACTTGGTGAATGAAGTCCATAAGGAAAGAATGGGCTTTCATTTTATCTTCTAGCTGGTGAAGAATAATTAGTGATGTATTGCTGAAGCCAGGTGCTTCTGTTGAAATAAAATAACCAAAACTTAAGTACAAAACATACTAGTTTTACAATAATTATTGCTATTAAAAGAAAAAGTGAAGAAAACCTATACAAAGAAAAGTAATAAGCTTTCAATACAATTATTTATAACATTTACCCAAGAGTTAAAAAAAAAATTTAGGGGGAGTTTTGGGGGTTTGATATAATTCTTTGCTTGAATTCACACTGTATTTATTCAAAATGCAAAATAAGTTATTGTTAGTTATTGAGAGCTGAAGAAAAGGTCAAAGGAAGAAGGTAAGCACTGACGTTTTCATCATGAATCTCTAACGAGGAGAGATAATGTATGTTTCAGACAGTTCACTGGTACTTGGGAACCCCTCAAGTGCCCTTGATGCTGCAGAGCAGTAGGGAGTTTAAAGAGGGGGGTTAGCTGGGGCAGGCAAGAGGACATGATACCCTCACTTCCACGCATGGAGACAGCTCACTGGCACTCTTAGGTGAACGTGTCATTTCTATTAGCCAAATAAAGTGATTATGCCAAAATTACCATTTAATTTGGGGACAAATAAGGGCCAAATGTCTAACTATACCATCAATCTCCTTTTAGAAATAAAATGCCAAGAAAGCTAAGCAGGGTCAATAAGTCTGTCTCAGCTACAACAATTAGGATTGGCTCCAATGTTTCCTTGGTTTCTATTTTATTATCTAGATCTGTTCTGAGCACCACCACCACCAACCCCACTTTTTTATTGAGCTGTAGGTAAAAGTTTACAGAGCAAATTAGTTTCTCATTCAAAAATTTATACACAAATTGTTTCATGACATTGGCTGTAATCCCCGCGATGTGTCAGTACTCACCCCTTTTGACCCCAGGTTCCTCCTTTCCATTCGTCTGTCCAGTTTTTCTACCCCTTCCTGCCTTCTCCTCTTTGCTTTTGGGCAGGTGTTGCCCATTTGGTCTTGTATACTTGACTGGTCTAAGGAGCAGTTACTCACGTGTATTACTGCCTGTCTTAGAAACAAAAAACCAATCCTGTTGCCTTTGAGTTGGTTCCAACTCATAACCACCCTATAGGACAGACTGAAACTGCTCCATAGGGTTTCCAAAGAGAAGCTGGTGCATTTGAACTGCCAACCTTTTGGTTAGCAGCCATAGCTCCTAATGACTACACTTCCAGGGCTCCATAGGCCCGTCTAATTTTTGGCTGAAAGGTGAACTTCAGGATTGGCTTCAGTTCTGAGTTAGAAGGGTGTTCAGAGGCCACAGTCTTGGGGGTCCCTCCAGTCTCTGTCAGACTAGTAAGTCTAGTCTTTTTTGTGAATTTGAATTTTGTTCCACGTTTTTCTCCTGCTCTGTCCAGGACCCTCTATTGTGATTCCTGTCAGAGCAGTCGGTGGTGGTAGCCAAGCACCATCTAGTTCTGGGCTCAGGTTGGTGGAGACTGTGGTTCATGTGGTCCACTAGTCCTCTGGACGAATATTTTCCTTGTGTCTTTAATTTTCTTCATTTTCCTGTGCTCCAGATAGGACAGGACCAATAGATGCATGTTAGATGGCCACTCGCAAGCTTTTAAGACCCCGGACACTACTCACCAAAGTAGGATGAAGAACATTTTCTTTATGAACTATGTTATGCCAATTGACTTGGATGTCCCCCAAGACCATGGTCCCCAGCCCTCAGCCCCAGTAACTTCGTCCCTCAAGGTGTCTGGACGTGTCTAGTAAGCTTCTATGACTGTAATCCCCTTGTGCTCTATTACATACATAAATATACCTGCTATACATACAAATAGTACCTAAAAATATCTATAGCCAAACCTATATACGTACATAGGTATATTCCTATATGTCCTCCTTCCCCTGTTTAGCATACATATCTGCCTATGTATCTGCTTTTAAGTTATTATTTGTTTTTACTGTTGTTGTAGGGTTGTAGATGCTATAGTATGTACTGTGGTTGCTCTTTTTTTCTCCTTCTTGTGTTCCTCTCAGTGTCTTCCTTTGCCTTGGTAAAGTTGTACTGACTTCCCTGTATTGTGTATTGTTTTTCCCTTCAGCAAAGTTAACACTTGTCTACTATCTAGTTGGAAACTCTGGTGGCATAGTGGTTAAGTGCTACAGCTACTAACCAAAAGGTCAGCAATTCAAATCCACCAGGCATTCCTTGGAAACTCTATGGGGCAGCTCTACTCTGTCCTATAGGGTCGCTATGAGTCAGAATCAACTCTATGGCTACGGATTTGGCTTTTTCTTTCTTTTTTTTACTATCTAGTTAGTGATTTCCCCTCTCCACTCTTCCGCTCCCTCATAACCATCAAGATTGTATTTTTCTGCATGTAAACCTTTTCTTGAGTTTTTATAATAGTGGTCTCATGCAGTATCTGTCCTTTTGTGATTGACTTATTTTACTTAGCATAATGCTCTCCAGATTCATCCATGTTGTAAGATGTTTTGCGGATTCATCATCGTTCTCTATTGTTATGTAGGATTCCATCGTATGTATGTACCATAATTTGTTTATCCATTCATTTACTGGGCACTTAGGTTGTTTGCATCTTTTTGCTACTATAAACAATGCTGCAATTAACATGGGTGTGCATATGTCTATTCGTGTGACAGCTCTTATTTCTCTAGGATATATTCCTAGGAATGGGATTGCTGGATCATATGGTATTTCTATTTCTAGCTTTTTAAGGAAGCACCATATAGTTCTCCACAGTGTTTGTACCATTTTACATTCCCACCAGCAGCGTATGAGAATTCCAATCTCCCCACAATCTCACCAGCATTTATTGTTTTCTGAAATTTTTGAGCAATGCCATTCTTGCAGGGATGAGATGGTATCTCATCATGGTTTTAATTTGCATCTTTCTAATGGTTAATGATTGGGAGCGTCTTTTCATGTATTTGTTGGTTGCTTGAACATCCTCTTTGGTGAAGTGTCTGTTCATATTCTTTGCCCATTTTGTGACTGGATTGCTTGTCTTTTTATCATTGAGTTGTTGAAGTTTTCTGTATATTTTAGAGGTTAAGCCTTTATTAGATACACTGTTGCCAAAGATTTTTTTCCCAGTCTGAAGGTTCTCTTTTTACTCTCTTGGAAAAGCCTTTTGATGAGCATAAGAATTTTTAGGAGTTCCCAGTTATCTAGTTTTTCTTCTGGAGTTTATGTATTTTTAGTTATGCTTGATATTCTATTTATGCCATAAACTAGGGCCCCTAGTGTTGTCTCTCTGTTTTCTTTCATGAACTTTACAGTTTTAGAATTTTAATTTAGGTCTTTGATACATTTTGAGTTAGTTTTTGTGTATGGGGTGAGGTATGGATCCTGTTTCATTTTTCTGCAAATGGATATCCAGTTTTGCCAGCACTGTTTGTTGAAGAGACTCTCTCTTCCCCATTTAATGGACTTTGAACCTTAGTCAAAGATCAGGTGTCCATAGGTGGATGGCTTTATTTCTGGGTTCTCAACTCTGTTCCATCGGTCTGTGTCTTCCATTGTACTAGTACCAAACTGTTTTGACTACTGTAGCTGTATAATAGGTTCTGAGATCGGGAAGTGAGAGGCCTCTTACTTTGCTCTTCTTTTTCAGAAATGTTTTACTTATCCGAAGGCTCTTTCCTTTCCATATAAAGTCGGTGATTAGTTTTCCCATCTCATTAAAGAATGTTGTTGGAATTTGGATTGAGACTGCATTGTATCTATAGATTACTTTGGGTAGTACTGACATTTTCACAATGGTTAAGTCTTCCTATCCATTAGCATGGTATGTTTTTCCATTTATGAAGGTCTCTTTTGGTTTCTTGCAGTAATGTTTTGTAGTTTTCTTTGTATAAGTCTTTTATATCACTAGCTAGGTTTATTCCTAAGTATTTTATCTTTTGGGGGGCTACTGTAAATGGTATTGTTTTCCTCATTTCTTTTTCAGAGTTTTCTTTGTTCTGAGCCTTTTTCAAAATATACCTGTCTTAGGTTGGGTTCTCTAGAGAAGAAAACCAGTAAAGCATATACATATATACGTAGAGAGAGATTTATATCAAAGAAATGGCTCACGTGGTTGTAGAGGCTATAACGTCCCAAGTCCATGGGTAAGGATATAGCCTTCTCCTGATTCATGTAGCCGCGGAGGCTGGTGAACCCAAGATCAGCAGGTCAGAGAGCAGGACTGTTGGTCGCAGGCTGTGAAGATCGACGAATCCCAAGATCGGCAGGCAAGACAGCAGCTAAGCTGCTAGCTCAAGTCCCAAGAACCAGAGGTCAGATGAACAGAGGGCAGCTGCAGGATCCAGAACGAGCAAAAGCCCCTGAGCCCCGCCAGAACATCTGCCCACACTCGATGTAGACCACAAACCCAAGGAAACTCCCCTTCAACCGACTGGCTACTCACAGCAGATGCCACTATGGGGGTGATTACGTATCAAATTTCAACACGGAAGTGACCACAACATCATACGATTGCCAAAACACTGAGAATCATGGCCCAGTCAAGTTGACACACAATCTTAACCATGATAATACCTTACAGGTTACAATCTTTTAAAAAATATTGAATTCATCTTAAATTGTTTGAAAAGCTAAAACATATGCTTTGAGAGAAACCTTTAATAAAGAATCAGAATATTCTTCTCAGAATAGATCACTCTATCATATTAAAATTGAAATGTTCTTACCCTCAGGGACAGATTCAGCCCACCGTGGATCAGACGCTGGATAGTCATCCACCAAGTCCACGCTGATTTGGGTAACAGCTCTATCTAGTTCAGAATCGGAATCCAAATCAGGGTGTGAGGAAAACAGCTCATCAACCATCATTTGAGCATGACCTAAATCTTTTCTGAAAAAAAAAAGGAATACAAAAGTATTAACGGAGGCAAAACATTTTCAAAACTCACCATGAAAAAATTGTGAAATTAAAGTCCCATTTATAGGTTTTAGTCCCCAGTTAATTATTTTTAATAAAATTTATTAAAGGGGAGAAAACTATTTGCATTCATTAAGTCAACAAATATATATTAAACACTTACAATATGTAAAGCCCTAGAGATGAAACAGAATGGTAAACCAGACATTAAAGACAGTCCTGGACTTCACCAAATATGCAACATTGTGGAGGAGCTAGATGAGTAAACAAACAACTACACATGCAAGATAACAAGCAATACAATAGGGAAGAAACAGAGGGCTATAGAGACCACAGAAGGGAGACCAAACCCATGAGAGGGCAGGAAAACTTCCTGGAGAAAGTAAGGGTTAAGCTGAGGCTCGACAGGCAAAGGGTTGGTCAGGCAAGGCCAGGGAGAGCATGGGGAGGGAATATGGTTCCACATAGGAGAGTATGTGCCAACATCTGCAAACAAGTGAGTCTGCAGCTCAGGAAACAGAGGGGTAGGCTAGAGATAAGGATATATGTTTCCTCAGAGACCACCCAGGGAGTGGAGAGGGAAAAACCTTCCAGGGTGGAGTCCTTAGGAATGCCATCAATTAAAGGACAGGGGAGCCAGTAAAAAGAATCAGATTCTTCTAAATTGGTCAGAGAGATTAGAGGAAAACCAGGTTTCCATGAACCCAAGAAGGATTAGGCATGGTTCATAAATTCAGAGTGGATGAGTCACACAATCAGAGAAAAAAGAGCTTTGTAAAAACCATGTTACAGAGTGTGAACTTCAACCTAAGGAAAATGGAAAGTCACTGACTTTGAAGGAAGAAAGTGTCATGATCTGGTCTATTCAGAAAGATCATTCTAACTATGATATACAGAGGGGATTAGAGGGAAATAAGACAAGAGGGAGAAAAATCTAGGTTGGTTACTGCAGAAATCTAGGCAAGAAAAGATAGCAACCTCCACTAGCAGTGGTCACAGTGGGGAATGGAGACAAGCAAACCGATTTGAGAACACAGATGTATGAGGTAGAATTTGGCAACTGATTGCATCTAGGGGCTAATACAACAGACATATAAGGATGACTCCCAAGTTTTTGTTCTGAACGACTGAATGGATGGTAATATTCTTCACTGGAACAGTGGGTAGAGAAGGAAATAAGTAGAGAAGACAAGTTCCATTTTGGATACATTGAAATTGAGGTGCCCGTGAAATATAAACTGCTTTTACATTATCTATTTGTACCAGGACTTGGTATATCTGGTTTTATACAGCAAATGAACCTAAGGAACAGAAAAGATCATTCAGGGAGTAGAGAGAGAGGAATATGATAGACAATAGCAAACGCAATCTTTCAAATAGCTTAACTATAAAGAGGAATGAACGGATAGGGTGGTAGCTCAAAAGAGGACACAAAGTCAAAGAATGTTTTTTTTTAAAAAATGGTAGATTAAATACGATCAACTACAGAAGGGTCTGTGCAAAGGCATTCGACTACGCAGATCATTAACAAACTATGGATAACACTGCAAAGAATGGGAACTCCAGAAAAGCTGACCACAGAAACACAGAACAACTGCCTAGAAGTGTTAATGGCCAGGTTGAAGTTGGAAATGTACATACTCTATAAGTAATGGGAATACAAAGTTCTCTATGACAAGGTCCAACCAATATTTAACTACTTTAGTCCATAAAGTAAGTTTCCTAAAACTCTGATCAGCAAAAGAATTTACATTTATATTTTCTGAGCTAAGTAAAATGAAAACCAAAATAATATAAAAATTAATTTAAAATAACCTATACTACAAAAATAGTAATAATACCTTAGCAAAAAACTACACAGATAACACAAAGTGTTATTTATTTGCCCATTTTGACCCCCAGGGAGCATTTGGCAAAGTCTGAAGATACTTTTGGTTGTTACAACTTGTGGGGAAGGGTTCTACTGGCATTTAGTAGGCGGGGGCCAGGGATGCTGCTTAACATCCTACAATGCACAGGACAGCCCCCACAACAAAAAAAAGTATCTGCCCCCAAATGTTAATAGTGCCAATGTTGACAAATACTACTTTATAGGTATCACAACTCCATTTGTGAAGAGTAATTTTTTAAGACTATTGGCTGACACTATCCTAGAAATGATTATTTGTTAACCCTAGAGAACTTCAACCACGCTAAAGAGAATGATTCTACAGGCAGAGCTGTGCTAAAGGCCCAATTATGCTGTTCTTAAGGTTACTATACTCTTAGGATTTAAGGTCAGGGACCCCTTTTCATGCCTATAATCTTCCCTTATAAAACATTTAAAAACGAGTGTACTGGATTGGATTCTTATACCACTGGAACCTCAGAATGTGACCTGATTTGGAAATAGGGCCTTTGCAGATATAATTAGTCAAGATAAGGTCATACTAATTAGGGTGAGCCTTAAATCCAAGAAGGCCATGTGAAGACACACAGACACAGAGAAGAGGGTCATGTGAAGACAAAGGCAGAGACTGGAGTAATGCAGCTACAGCCATGGAACACCAAGCTTTGTCAGCAACCCCCAGAAGCTAGGAAGATGCATGGAAGGATTCTACCCTAGATCCTTTAGAGGGAGATGGCCCTGTCAACACCTTGATTTCAAACTTCTAGCCTCTAGAACTGTGAAAGAATAAATTTCTGTTGTTTTAAGTCACCAAGTTTATGACAATCTGTTATGATAGCTCTAGGAAACGAATACAATGACTATGGTGACTTGCTGCATTGTTTAAAATTTGAAATACCACAATTTGCCAGAATTACATTAAAAAGATACACTTGTACAAGATAAAATCAAAATATTTTAATCCAAATCTTGGCAGGAAAATTGGAGCCCATACAACAGAATAAAATTAAAAGAATAACACTATTTAAAAAAAAAAAACTTGTCTGATGTTGCCCCCTTGTGGACAAGAAACTAAACTCAATGGACCATTATGATAGCACAGAATTTTAAAACTGCAAAAGCACTTTAGAGTCTAATTCATTGTTACCTCTTTTGTGAGAGTGAGCCACTATGTATTTCCATCAAACCTAGATATCACTATGAGTGGAATTATGGGATTATAAACCAAGAACTGGGAGAAATGGAGGCAGTCAACTCTAAAAATATCTTCAAAACAAAGATCTGCTAGGTAAACTAATAGATCCTTAGTCCATTTCAACTTCAATTCTATTCTGGTCACCTAGTGCGGCTGTAACAGAAATATCACAAGTGGATGGCTTTAACAAAGAGAACTTTATTCTCTCACAGTCCAATAGGCTAGAAGTCTGAACTCAGGGTGCCGGCTACAGGGGAAGGCATTCTCTCTGTCAACTCTGGAGAAAGGTCCTTGTTTGTCATTAGCCTTCCCTTCATATGGGAGCATCTCAGCGCAGGAACCCCAGGTCCAAAGGACGGGCTCTGCTCCTGGCACTACTTTCTTGGTGGTATGAGGTCCCCATGTCTCTCTGCTCACTTCTCTCTCTTATATATCAAAAGACATTGGCTTAAGACACTATCTCAATATAACTGCCACTAATCCATCTCATTACATCATAGAGATAGGATTTACAACACATAGGGAAATCACATCAGATGGCAAAATGTAGACAATCATACAATACTGGGAATCATGACCTAGACAAGTTGACAGATATTTCTGGGGCATACAATTCAATCCATGACGCATCCCACTCAATACTTTGCAAATGAAGAAACAGAATCTCAGACATTTTAAGCAATCTGTCTAATGTCTCAAGCAGCTAATTAGGGGCAGAGAACAAGGGCTGGATGAATTTTCCTGAGTTCATTCAAATACAAATTTATTAGACCTTTTAAGGAAGGTATCAGAATACATGATATATAGACTTATGTATAAGATAAACTAAAATTACTGAATTCGCCTTAAAAAAACTGAAGTGATATCAGGTCAGCAAGTGTGACAAACTGATTACAAAAATGGCCAGCAATTATTCCTCTGTGACTATGTAAAAAATGGCATGGCAGAGGCGTCTGAGTTCCTGTGACTTCACGAGGGGGAGACAGAATCACCATCAGCATCAGCTCAAGGCTGATCCCTATGAGGCAGGAGTGAGACACGCTTCCTCTCTCTGTGATCTTTACCAATTCTGAAACCAACCATCCTGCCGATGGCACCCTCTACTTCTCTACTTGGTTTGATAATTCACTGCAACAGCCTCACAGAACTCACAGACTATACTCACGATCATGAGGTTTATTAGAGAAGTAACAGGTTACAATTCAGGATCAGGAACAACTCAGAATACAGTTCTTCGCTCAGGATAGCTTCTCAGCCATGCCCACAGGCAGGCCTCCCTGGCCCTTGCCCTGGCCCCTGCCCTGTTTGGGCAAGTGTTACAATGCTCTTTAGCTCTGACAATAATTGCCTGGAGGCACCCTACTATGCCAGTAAGCCTCAGCCTGAAGGCACTCAGCTCTCTTGCTCTGTGAGTCAGCAAGCCTAGCTCCACCAAGTGTCCAGGGGCATCCCATTCCACTAGGAAGCCTCCTGCCCAAAGACTCTCAGCTCTCTCGCTCCCTGGGTCAGCACACCCACTGTAACCGCCTTGCTCTGTGGGCTGAGAAGCCTACTGTGCCATCTCACACCAGTTTCCTGGTTTTGCTACCACTGTTTCTCTGATCCCGCTTCTCACCGTCTCCTATGTTACAGGTCTCTGTCTCCTGGGTCTAGGAGGTTCTCAGGGCAGGGACCCTGGGTCCAAAGGATGCATTTCACTCCCATCTCTTCTTCTTGGTGCTCGTGAGGCCCCCCCAGTCCACCTCTGGAATGGCTCATTTTAAGCTTACCAGGATGGCAAAATTGACCAATTACCTCGTTAGGGTTCTATACACCTTGTTTGCATGGTCCTACCACCCATGAGGGTGTCACGTACCTTATTTGCATTATTAGAAAGCTATTCATTTTCTTTTGGGGGCCACAAGCACCTTATTTGCATAGTCCCACCCAATCGTTTGGTGAGAGGTACAAGACCATGGCAAGAAAGGCCATATAAAAACAATCTATCGTAATGCAGTCTTGTTTGGCCAGTTGACTATTAGGAAATATGACACAACAGAGACTTGAAAAGTGGCATGCATTGAGACTTGCTCTTGCCACTCTCGGAACTGAGCAATATGCAAACAGGCCCAGTGTAGCCTGCTAGCTGATGAGAGATCACATGAAACAGAGATAGTTGACCACCAAATGTAGCCAGCCTGGCAGCTAAACACAGACAATGAGTGAGCCCATTCGAGACTAATAGCACTGCCACCTGAGCCCAGTGCCAAAGAGTCAAACTGCAGAATCATGAGCTGGACTAAATAAGCCACTAAGTTTTGTGGTGATTTTAGCCCAACAGACCAAGCCTAATTCCTTTATCAAACCGATACAACTTTGTGTACAACATACATTCCTTAACATACATGACTTTCACATTGTCTTCATGATTACTTTTTTTTTTTTTAATTGTGCTTTAGGTGAAAGTTTACAGCTTATGTTAGTTTCTCATACAAAAATTTATACACACATTGTTGTGTGACTATATTTGCTAACCCTATAATGTAATTATATATTCTGCCTATCCACCCCGGATTTCCCACATCCATTCAACCAGCTCCTATCCTTTTCTGCCTTCTCATCTCGCCTCTGGACAGGAGCTGCCCATTTAGTCTTGTGTATCTACTTGAACTAAGAAGAACACCCTTCACGAGTATCATTTTATGTTCTATAGTCCAGTCTATTCTTTGTCTGAAAAGTTGGCTTCAGGAATGGTTTTAGTCAGGGTTAACAGAGAGTCCGGGGGCCATGTCTTCTGAGGTCCCTTCAGTCTCAGTCAGACCATTAAGTCTGATCTTTTTACTAGAATTTGAATTCTGCACCCCACTTTTCTCTTGTGTTCCTTGTCAGGGTGGTCATTGGTGGTAGCCAGGCACCAACTAGTTCTTCTGGTCTCAGGCTGATGGAGTCTCTGGTTTATGTGGCCCCTTCTGTCTCTTGGGGTAATATTTTCCTTGTGTCTTTGGTGTTCTTCATTCTCCTTTGCTCCAGGTTGGCTGGAACCAACTGATGCATCTTAGATGGCCACTTGCTAGCTTTTAAGACCCCAGATGCCATTCACCAAAGTGGGATGCAGAACATTTTCTTAATAAACTTTGTTATGCCAACTGACCTAGATGTCCTCTGAAACCATGGTCCCCAGACCTCTACCCCTGCTATACTGTCCCTCAACGTGTTTGGTTGTGTTCAGAAAATTTCTTAGCTTTTGATTTAGTCTAGTGGTGCTGACTTCTGTATTGTGTGTTGTCCTTCCCTTCACATAAGATAATTCTTGTCTACTATCTAGTAAGTTCCCCTCTCTCCCTCCCTCCCCACCCTCGTAATCATCAAAGAATGTTTTCTTCTGTGTTTAAACCTTTTCTTGAATTCTTATAATAGTGATCTCATACGATACTTGTACTTTTGCGACTAATTTCACTGAGCATAATACCTTCCAGATTCATCCATGTTATGAGACACTTCGTGAATTCATTGTTGTTCTTTATCGTTGCGTAGTATTCCACTGTGTGAATACACCATAATTTGTTTATCCATTTGTTTTGTTCATGGGCACCTAGGTTGTTTCCACCATTTTTGCTATGGCGAACAGTGCTGTAATGAACATGAGTGTGCACATATCTATTTCTGTGATGGCTTTTACTTCTCTAGGATATATTCCAAGGAGTGGGACCGCTGGATCATATGGTACTTCTATTTCTAGCTTTTTAAGGAAGCGCCAAATTGATTTCCAAAGGGCTGTACCATTTTACATTCCCACCAGCAGTGCACAAGCATTCCAGTCTCTCCACAACCTCTCCAACATTTACTATTTTGTGTTTTTTGAATTAATGCTAGCCTTGTTGGGGTGAGATGGTATCTCATTGTAGTTTTGATTTGCATTTCTCTAATGGCTAATGATCGTGAGCCTTTCCTCATGTATCTGTTAGTTGCCTGAATGTCTTCTTTGGTGAAGTGTCTGTTCATATCCTTTGCCCATTTTTTAACCAGGTTATTTGTCTTTTGTTGTTCAAGTTTTGCAGTATCTTATAAATTTTAAATTAGACCCTGATTGGATATGTCGTAGCCAAACATTTTTTCCCAGTCTGTAGGCTATCTTTTTACTCTTTTGGTGAAGTCTTTTCATGAGTATAAGTGTTTGATTTTTAGGAGTTCCCAGTTATTGAGTTTCTCTTCTGGTGTTTGTGCATTGTTACTTATGGTTTATATTCTGTTTATGCCATGTATTAGGGTTCCTAGCACTGTCCCTATTTTTTCTTCCATCATCTTCACCGTTTTAGGTTTTATATTTAGGTCTTTGATCCATTTTGAGTTAGTTTTTGTGCATGGTGTGAGGTATGGGTCTTGTTTCAATTTTTTTGCAGATAGATATCTAGTTATGCTAGCAACATTTGTTAAAGAGACTGTCTTTTCCCCATTTAATGGACTTTGGGCCTTTGTCAAATATCAGCTGCTCAAAGGAGGATGAATTTATGTCTGGATTCTCAATTCTGTTCCATTGGTCTATGTATCTGTTGTTGTACCAGTACCAGGCTGTTTTGACTACCATGACAGTATAATAGGTTCTACAATGAGGTACTGTGAGGCCTCTCACTTTGTTCTTCTTCTTCAGTAATGCTTTACTTATCTGGGGCCTCTTCCCTTTCCATATGAAGTTGGTGATTTGTTTCTCCATCTCCTTAAAAAATGCCATTGGAATTTGGATTGGGATTGAACTGACATTGTCACAATGTTGAGTCTTGCTATCCACGAGCGAGATATGTTTTCCCACGTATGTAGGTCTCTTTTGGTTTCTTGCAGTAGTGCCTTGTAGTTTTCTTTGTATAGGTCTTTTACGTCTCTAGTTAGATTTATTCCTAAGTATTTTATCTTCTTGTGGGCTACTGTAAATGGTACTCATTTGGTGATTTCCTCTTTGAAATTCTCTGTTAGTGTAGAAGAATCTGACTGATTTTTGTATGTTTATCTTGTATCCTGACACTTTGTTGAAATCTTCTATTAGTTCCAGTAGTTTTCTTGTGGATTCTTTGGGGTTTTCTGCGTATAAGATCATATCATCTGCAAATAGTGATACTTTTACGTCTTCCTTATCACTTTGAATGCCTTTTATTTCTTTTTGTAGCCTAACTGCTCTAGCTAGGACCTCCAACACAATGCTGAATAAGAGTAGTGATAAAGGGCATCCTTGTCTGGTTCCCATTCTCAAAGGGAATGCTTTCAGACCCTCTCCATTTAAGATGATGTTGGCTGTTGGTTTTGTATAAATGCCCTTTATTATGTTGAGGAATTTCCCTTCTATTCCTATTTTGCTGAGAGTTTTTACATGATCACTATTTTTAACAGCTACTCTGTTTTCTATTAAGTGGCGAGGGTATGTTAGATCATATTTTTTTTCCTAGTCTACTTGGAACCATACCGTGGCTACCAAGTTAAAAATAATAGTTTGTTAAAGTAATAAAGCTCAACAAACAAACAAAAATCTCCTCTTGATGTCATAATTTCTCCCACTCTTCTACCACTCAACAAATAAGTAGCATATATCAGTGTCATGGTTTGAATTATGTCCCCCAAAAAATGTGTGTAATCTATTTGGCTAGGCCATGATTCCTGGTACTGTGTGATTTTGCTGTATGTTATAAACCTGCCTCTATGATGTTAATGAGGGAGGATGGGTGGCATTTGTGTTAGTAAGGCAGGACCTGATCTACAAGACTGGACTGTGTCCTGAGGCAATCTCTTGAGATATAAAAGACAGAAGTGAGCAGTGAGACAGGGGGACTTCACACCATCAAGAAAGCAGTGCCGGGAGTAGAGCGTATCCTTTGGACTGGGGTCCCTGTAGAGAGAAGCTCCTAGTCTGGGTGAACACTGAAGAAAAGAAGGCCAACAGAGAGAAAAAGCCTTCCCCTGGAGCTGATGCCCTGAATTTGGACTTTTAGCCTACCTTGACTATGAGGAAATAAACTTCTCTTCATTAAAACCATCCACTTGTGGTGTTTCTGTTATGGCAGCACTAGATGACTAAGACAATCAGTAAAACATGCCCTCAGAAAAAAATAAACCATAATTTTAAAACATGTAATACCTGCAGTATTGCAGAAAAGCAGCTTTTAGCAACTTGGTTTTATCTTCCTGAGCTATGGTTTCATTCTTTGTAGTAGTCTCAAAAACCATACTCTGTAAAATAACAAACTATAGTTTAGAGGTGAAGGTATTAGAATATTCTCAACACACACACACTGTTTAACTATACTGACTATACCAATGGTTTATACACTTAAGATGTTCATTGAAACGTGATAAATGGCATCAAATGGTCAACCAAAGTCCTACAGAAAAGGTACAAATAATTCAGGAACTATATTATGGGTAAAATTATTTGGGGATTCTCTCATGACCAGCACAATCTTTTTATAAGTTTGCTATTATACAACTAATCACAATGTATATGACTAAGCATAATGGCTGATTATAAATTCTATGTTTAAACAAAGATTTAGAAAATTTTAAAGGAAATGGAACACTGTAAGATATCTTGAGAACTTATAGCAGTATTACAATATCTATATAATTATAAAAGAATCAAAGTAAAAAAATTTTTTTCTTGAAACTGTACCAAATTACTGATTTTGAATTCTAGAAATAGTCCATATATTTCACATAGCATACAAATGCAAATTATCCCAAGCAGTATTAATTATTTTTAGTATCTTATAAAAAAAAAATAATAAAACTCTGATGGATGGATGCTGTAGAGTTTCTGTTTGGGGTGATGTAAAATGTCTGAAAATGAACAGTGGTGATGGTAGCACAACGTGGTAATGTAATAATGCCACTAAACTGTACACTTAAAAATGATTAAAATGGCAAACTTTTGGTCATACATTTTATCACAATAAAATTTTTTAAAAAATCTTATGGATATGGATATTTCAGGTTTCAAAATGACAGAAAAAAATGATTTTTATTCCACTCTTCCTCTCAAATCACCCCAAAAGGACAACAATAAGAAAAAGAAACATAACCTCCACCAAAACCTCTGTTAATCTAACCATAACACATGACGATGGAAACCAGAAGCAATGGCAAATGGCAGAGCAAAGAGGAGACAAACCTAAGTGTGTGGTACAGGCATAGGTGTCGATGAGAAGTTGGAGGGTAATGGAAAAGGGAAGTTCCAGGATGAGAGCTGTGCAGCTGTAAAGTTTCTTGAGAGATTTGACTGTGAGAAAAACTATACTGAGAGGCATTTTACAGAGCTGCTGGAACGTGTGGGAAGAGTAAGACCAATATTAAAGAAAAAGTAAGCAAATGTAAAATGAGTCAATTAACACCAAGAATCACACAAAGTTGTATCATAAAGGAAATATAATCAATACATTATTTGGCTTGGCAAACCATAAGCAATATTCACATTGTCATTATAGTGAAAAAAGCTTATACTGTGACGATGAAGGCAGAAGAAGGGGTGTAAGTTACCCAAAATCCTCATCTTCCATAGTAGGAAGTCAACAGATCTCTAAATTGATGAAGCAAGAGACAAAAGTATATGCATATCACTTATAAACATGGAGAAAAAATACCAGAAGAAATAGCTAAAAGACTTAAAAGCAGTTGCTTCTGGGAAAAACGGCAAATGGGATGAGGGAGACAAAAGATCTAATACTTTTATCATAAATCTTTTAAAAACAGTTTGACTTTTTAAAACATTTGTGTGAAATACTCTGATAAAAATAAAAATAAAAAAATCTTATGGAACCATTTTACCTCGTTGCTTGGGCCAGCAATTGAAGATGTCAGGGAATCTTCAAGATCTTCTGCTAATACAGACACATTTTCCCTTGACATAATAGACATCAATCCACTGTTTCTAGAAAAAATGATAGGAACACCACCATAGGAACCAGCTCCTAAAATACTATCTCCTTAAAATAAAAGAAAAATACACAGTTAAATATAATGTAACAAAAAGTTTTCCAAAATCTACCACCCTATGCAGAAAATCATCTTGAACATTTTTTTAAAGAATTGTTTTTCCTTTATAGTACTATTCCTCTCTGACCTCAGCTTTTTAATCCTAAAATCAAATGTCAAGAACCTGTTGTTATTTGAAGAAGCAGGCTCTGTGTCCTTCAGCTTTAAGGACAATAAAAACTAGCCTTGTAAAAAGAGTAATGACAATAAACCTAGAACTACAAGTATGCCAAAAATGAAAATTATTCGTTCTGCAAAACTCAGAATAACAGCTTTTTTAATCTTGTGGAGCCCTCTTGCCCATTCTGTCTTTACCTTATTGAATCAGCCAATGAAACTTTAAAAAAAAAAAAATCTAAGCCTGCTCTTAATAACTCCTCGGAATCTACTCGATGGCAGTGGGTTTGGTTTTTGGACCCACAGTCAAGGCTCTTGTCCTCAGACTAGAAAACCTAGGTTCCATCCTGTTGCCTTATCTAGATTTTGCCCTCTTTCAGTCCTGACCAGTCTCCCCCCAGTCCTATCCCTGTACCTGTTTCAGTTCCCCTGCATGAGTTTACACCTGAGATTCTTGTTCAGAAGTCTGAATCAACAATATCTAAAGAACATTAACTCAGAATAAACCACTCTTATTAACTCAGAATAAGCAATTAACTTCTCTTTAGTGTCAGTTCTTTCCTTCTTGGTCTCTTCTCCTGGGAAAAATGTTACTATTATTTGCCTCTAAATATAACAGTCTGGGAATTCTACCACCTTTTTAGTTTTTCAGTAGGGTTGCCACTTCAGTTACTGTAAGTAAGCTACTGAATGTCTCAGAAACACTTGGAGGCATCAATCATGCAAGAAGCAACACTTATGGAAAGAGAATAAAAACTACTAATATTGACTAGTGAGTTTACTAATCATGCTTTCTAGAACTGCTACCTTACCTTGTGTAGCAAAGCCAATTTTCTCCCGAGGAAGAGAAAGCCTCCCATTTCCTGTGGAGCACACACAGACTGCACTCTCAGTACACAGATAGGCAGTCTGATTTGAAAAGTTTGGGACTACCAATCGACACTTAATCTGGTCTTCAGACTGAAAATTAAATGTAAAGTTATATTTAAGGAGGACTCAAACCAAAATACTGGTTTGTATGGTTTAATAATTCATGTTTTTTTACAACACTATCTCATAAAAATGCTAAACAGACAATTCACTACACTAGTTCTTCTTGTAAGAACCTAATCTAAATACTACCCATAGCTTGAATCACAAAAAAAAAAAGACAGAGTAACCTTATCAACATCAAGTAGTGGAATCATTTGTTGAGTTACAAATAATAAGCAAATGTTGAAAACATCTGCATAGTGATAAGATTACCACCAGATGCTTATAACAAATGAAAGCGAGAAAATAAAAGTGTTAATTCATTATATTATTTTAGAACTGGTGAATACTTTATAAACAATCCTTGAAAAATAAACATTTTGGTTCTTTATTGTCAAGATATAAAGCACAAGCAAGTTAATTTGTCCAAGTTGATATATAAACTAAAAGGGAGACATAAAAATGACTTAATTAAATGATAAAATTAGCAAATGCTAAAACAATAACTAGTTATAAATAAGTAATGTTACAAACAAAACATTAAAAGTAGCATTCTAGGTTTTTTTAAATTAATTCTCACATTGTTTTCTTTATATTCTGCTCTATTGTCTGAAGTAAGATTTTTTCTTTTTTAACACTGAGCATTTTTTTTTCATAATCAGAAATAAGGCTTATTCTGTTTAAAATAAAAGAACAAATTAAAAGATCTTCTGACAGGATTTAGTTACACAAGTCATTTTAAGAACAACAACTTAGAAGAATTAGATCCTACACAAGGTTAAATGAAATGAATTTACAGCTAGCTATTAAGGTTTTCCTCATGAACATCACAGCTATTAAGCTATATGTTAAACTGCTCTGAATAACTTAAAATTAGAAAGCCTGCCTTTGAACGGATTATTAAAAATCTAATAAGTATATAATGCTGCTGCCCACAAATATAATCCTGTTTTGGGCAAAAAGGGATATTTTTCTGTAATATAGAGGGCTCAAAACCAAACTCCAATTCTTATCCGGTATCTTTCTTACTTCATCCTATAGCTCATCGTCAATATTTCCTTTCTAATCACTAATACAGAAACAACAACCCCTTTATAAGAGATAGAGCAGAAGAAGCAAATGGCTCGCTGCTGGTTGATTCCACTTCATTTCTCTTGAACCAATGAAAGATTCTGAGATGGCAAAGAAAATGCAACAGTGTCTAAAAGCAAGCAATTTAAAAATATTTCTAAGCCATCTAGATGAGTCTCTCAGAATTTGGCCCTGCAATGGTTAGAAAAGAACTCCATGTGTTATTGCCTCTTTGAAGTTTAACTGTCAGATGTAAGTCTTACCTGGAAAGGTGGATTATACTGAGTGACCTCTACCGTAACTGCACCTGACATCTGGTAGCCATCATCTTCCACTGTTATCAGAGAGTAATATACAAGACATGGTGTGTCTGCTGGATGCCATGCTGCTGCCAAAATCAGGAGCCCATCACTAGTCAATGAAAAAAAAGAAACAGTTTGGCAGTTTCTGATAAAGTTAAACATACACTTACCATATGACCTAGCACTCCCACTCCTAAATGTTTATTCAAGAGAAATAAAAATTTATGTTCATTACATAAAAACCTTTGGGCAAATGTTTGCAGTGGCTTTATTCATAACTGCCTAAGCTGTAAACAACCCACATATCCTTCGACTGCTGAATAAATGAACAAATCTTGGTACAGCCATACAGTGGAATACTACTAAGCAGTAACAAGGAAGAAACTACTGGATAAATCTCAAATGCATTATGCTAAGTGAAAGAAGCCAGACTCAAAAGACTTTAACTACATAATTTCATTCATACGACATTTTCAAAAAGGCAAAATTACAGAGACAGGAAACAAATGATTGCCAGGAGCTGGGGGTAAAGGGGGGAGTTGACTACAAAGGGGCACAAAGGAATTTTGGGGGTGATGGAACTGTTCTATATCTTAATTGTAGTGGTAGCTAAATGACTATATACATTTGCCAAAATTCACAGAACTACTACACATTAAAGACAGTGAATTTTACTGCTTATAAATTATAGCTCAATAAACCCTACTGACAACTAAAAAAAAAATCAATCGCTAGACAGTAAGAAAAAAGTTAGTGACTAAATTACACACTACTCAGATCAAGCAATTTTAACACAGCTTTCATTTCCTTCTTCACCGTTTTCTTCTCCCAGCTTCCTAATGCTTATCACTTCTACTTGGACTATTCAAAGGAAATCAAGGATATTGGCCCAAACTTGTTACATATAGATGACATATAAGAACATATGCTATACATACGAAGGAACTGAGATAAGACCCAAAGAATATAGTCTTTAGAGTCTCGTCTCTGTACCAAGTAAGGTGATATAGTCAGTTAAACATGCACGATAAAGCTCCGTATCAAAGTTACACAAAAAATTGTAGTGAAACTACTCGGTACGATACTGTAATGGCAGACACATGACATTAGGAACACACACCATAAAGGGTGCACCCTAATGTAAGCTATGGACTTTAGTTAATAAGATTGCACCAATACTGGTTCGTCAATGGTAACAAACGTACCACACTAATGCAAGATGGTAATGGGAGAAACAACGTGCAGGGAATAGGGAAAACACTGGAACTCTTTGTACTTTCTGCACAATTTTTCTGTAAGTCTCAAACTACTCTAAAAAATAAAGTCTATTTTAAAAAAAAAAAGATATAGGAGGTAGGGGAGGATTGCATCATCTTGCAATTGGGAGTGCCATAAAGAGTGTCACAGAGACATATCTAACAAATAGGATTTCTTAGACAGTGATGATAGGATCAGTTTTATTTGACATCTTTCTAAACAAATCTTCAGGTATGAGAAAACATGGAGCTATTTTAGGTAGTGAAGAAGATGGGAAGTCAATTAGAATTTGGCAAGTCAGAAAGATTTGACAAATAAGTTTTCATGTGGGTATACACAAGGTAATAAATTTAAGAATAAAAATATTCAAATTTTACATCTAAAACCAGAAGAACTGGATGGTGTCCAGCTACCATTACTGGGACATTTTGATCAAAAATTCTATAGTAGAATCCTGATCAAAAGGAGGAAAATGTACAACAGAATTTGAAATTCTCATGGACTCCAGACTTTCTGGAGCCATGGAGGCTAGATGAGCCCCTGAAACTACTGGCCTGAGGTAATCTAAACCTTAAACCAAAAACACCCTCTGAAATCTTCTTAAAACCAAACAATAGTTTAGCTTAACGAGTAAAAAAAAAGTTCTGTCTTGGACATTATGCTCTTTTAGGTACTATCTGTATAGGATCAAATTGACAACAGCAACTCAAAAGATTAGATAGGATTCTTAGGGGCAGTAAGTTTATGTTAATGGGGGAGGAACAACTCAGAAAAAGAGGGCAAGAATGGTTGCACAACTCAAAGAATGTAATCAATGTCATTGAATTGTACACACAGAAACTGTATAAATTGTTTTACGTTTTGTTGTGTGTACTCTCAACGACAAAATAAAATTAAAAATAATAATAATATATTAATTAGCTTTATCAGACTAACCTGGGATCATAAGTACCACTTAGAGAACTGTTTCTAGGAGGAAATTCACTGAGTACAAACCATAATTGAGTTCCAACTTGTACTGCCAAGACAACCTTACCCCACCTTTCCTTTACTCAGTATAGTCACAAAAGTAAGCTTACTAAAGCTCCTTCAGCAACAGAAAAAGGGCGGGAAAAGTGTGCTTGTATCCCTAGGAGAGGAGAACGCTCATAGCACTGAATGCACTACAGCAGTAGGCAAGGACAGGATCTCGGGTATCTCTTGGCAGTAAAGAGAGAGAAGCTCCAGCTGTGAGAGCAGAAAACAAGCACCTCTAACTAGAGTAGACAACAAGTGTCAGGATATACATTGTAAGGCTGACTGACAGTGGCCTGTATTTCTAAAATGAACTAGCATCATTCGATAAAGAAACAGCAAGACCACTTAGCAAGGCTTAACAGATGACATGAGAAGATCAGCACCAGAAGCACTGGAAGAACAGACAGCAAGACTGCTCATCATTTTAGAGTACCACAAATTTATTTTTCCAAGCTATTACCTATATTCTTTATGACAAATTAATTGCTTACCAGTTTTGCTTCAGATCCAAATACCGAATGTTGACACCTTCTTTAATAGCTTCGTAGTTACTTTCAGATCCCTATATGAAGATATCAATAATGTAAGCTCCTTGAGTGTAGGAATCATTGTCACCTTTGTATCCCCAGCACATAGTAAAGTGCCTCGCTCACAGTAGCTAAAACATTTGTTGAATGAATAATATATAAGTTTTAAAAATTATTAAGCCAGTAAAGCAGTGATTTCCAATAGACTGAATACCTCATTTCTGCTTATCTGATAGCTATACGCTATGTTTATTACATTGAAATGTGTTCAAATAAAACAATTGAAAGAATAAGTATTATACAACCCAAAATGTGAATTACAGAGATGAATATTTTTGTTCCTTACCCAAATAGCATCAGCAATGTTTTCTTTCAGGGCTCTATTTAAATCCCAACTATGTGCATGTTTTTCTGAAGAATCATCTAATTCCCATTTACTGATGTTTGAACTTGTAAGGCTATAAAAGCTTGATGTCTCTCTATCCCAAAGGACACTTGAAAGCTATATGAAGAGGAGAAAAAGATCAAATTTACGGAGTGTTAGGTTCTAATTCTTCTGAAATTCAAATTGCATGTTTTATGACTATTTGATTAGCGATCCTAGCAGAAGTCTTCATTCAGGATCCGAAGGAAGGTGTGATCCTCAAATAGACATTGAAAGCACAGTAGGCTTACCATAGGCAGAAGTACAAAGGCAGAAGACCAAGGAAGAACAAAGCTGGGGAGGTAGGAAAGTGACAGGGTCTTCAGAGAGTAAGAAGCAGTGCTGTTAAACTGGAATGTAGATTCTAAGTACAAAAGAAGCAAAAATAAGGCTAGAGTGAAAAGTTAGGGACACACAGTGGAGAATCTTGTATGTGACTGAGTTTGTAAATCTAATAGGCAAGGGAGATATTATTATGGCCTTTGAGCAGAAGTGTGACAACCTAGAGCTGTGTTATAGAAAAATTAATCTGGCAGGGATGTGTGTAGTTATACTTTTTAAGTACGTATTTGCTTATGAGGTATAGATGTGTATTTTTTTTAAGCTAAGTAAACATGAATGGTTTGAGTTAAAACCCTAATTGTCTCCATTTCTCCTGCCACCATAATTCTAGCCACTTATGGGGCAGGAAGGAGCCAGCAATGAGTAAACTGAACTGGCAACCGGAGCTGAGGTAAAATTTACCAAGTACAGACTAGGGCATAACAATGGAAACAAAGATGAGCAAGGAAATGAGATATGATAGAAGTTAAATCTACAATGTCTAATAAATAACTACTTTGCTACAGAAGGAGAAAGACTACCAAGAAAATATAAAAATTTTATACCTACGTCACTGCAAAAGTTATAAGGCTATTAATACAAAGGGGCAGATCAGAAGAGAAATGAGTTTTGTAAGGTTAAGTGTGTAGTCAATAGGACAGAAGAGGGAAGCTGATAAATTTGTTTTCAGACATGTTAAGTTTCAGGTTTAAAGAATATTCAAGGGAAGCAGGTGATGACAGCTCTTTAAAATAAAAGAGGAAAAATAGTACACTAGGCCCCCCTTATTCGCCATTTCGCTTTCCATAGTTTCAGTTATCTTTGGTCAACCGTGGTTTGAAAATATTAAACAAGTACAAAGCACGATGAAATCTCACAGTGTCCCACTCCATGATTCACATAACTTTTATTACAGTATAGTTATAATTTTTCTATTATTAGTTATTGTTGTTAATCTCTTACTGTGCCTACTTTATAAATAAAACTTTATCATAGGTATATATGTACAGGACAAATCATAGTATATACAGGGTTTGGTACCATCTGAGGTTTCAGGTATCCACAGGTCTTGGAATGTATCCCCCATGGATAAGGGGGCACTACTGTACAGAGAAAAAGAACATGTGCTTTAAATTCAGACCAAGCTGGGCATAAATCCCAGTTCTGCCACCTTGGTCAGTTGATTTAACCTCATTGAGCCTGTTTCCCCATCTGTAAACTGGAGGTATTAGCAATCTACTTTACAGGTTGTGGTCATGATTACATGAAATGTAAATAGGGAGCCACTGGCATACAGTGGAAACCCTGGTGGTGTAGTGGTTAAGAGCTACAGCTGCTAACCAAAAGGCTGGCAGTTCGAATCCACCAGGTGCTCCTTTGAAACCCTATGGGGCAGTTCTACTACTCTATCCTATCGGGTCGTAATGGGTCAGAATCGACTCAATGGCAACGGGTTTGGTTTTTGGGTTTTTGGCATAGAGTAGATGCTGGATAAATTCAGTTCCCATCACCCTTCCCTTCACTATTCTGGAGCTCAGGGCAAAACTGGAAGCCTAGAGACGTAGATCTGAGTCATCTACCTAGACACCTGGAATCATGGAACTGGAATAGTTCTGATTCAGTCTAGAATACTAAGTTCTTAGGAAACACTTTTATTTATTTATTTTTTTGAATTTTTATATTTTATTTATTTATAAAGTGCTCTATAAACCATCAATGCTCTTTGATTTTTTTAAATTTTTTTCTATTGTACTTTAGATGAATGTTTACAGAGCAAACATTTTCATTAAACAATTAATACACATTGTTTTGTGACACTGGTTGTCAACCTCACAACATGTCAACACTCTTTCCTTCTCAACCTTGGGCTCCCAATTACCAGCTTTCTTGTCCCCTCCTTGCCCCTGGGCTGGTATGCCCATTTTGTCTCGTTTTGTTTTACAGGCCTGTCTAATCTTTGGCTGAAGGGTGAACCTTAGGAGTAACTTTATTACTGAGCTATAAGGGTGTCTGGGGAGGAAACATTTTTATTTTACATAATAGTTTTAATTCTATAAAAAATGTACTTATAAGAAAATCTGCCTGATTTAAAGGTATTAACATACAAGATGTGGGGGAGGATGGCTGGTATGGACTCTTAGTCATAACAGTAAAAATGGTTCAATGAAAACATCAACGGTTCTATTTCATATACACCATTGTTCATACTAGAGGCAATACAGACCTCACAAGAAACTTTCAACTTACTGATTTCACTAAGAAACAAGTTTGTAAAACAAAGTTGTTTTATAAACTTACTGTAAGATCACTACTAGCAGACAAAATTCCCAAAAGAGAAGAAACCTTCCGACCAATTCCTGAAAGCATGCCTTGCCCTTGAGGGAGGATATGCTGATGAATCTTTCCTAAACTTTCAGGTATCAACCGGATTAGTTGGCTTCCTGATGAAGACAAAATAAAGCTTCCTCCCTGTGAGCAAATATTGTGAGATTAGTTCAGTTAAACATGTAACACTAAGATATTTTTAAAAATTAACACAAAATAATGTTTTGATACAGAGAAAAATCGTCCACACCTTAAAACAAATCTAACAAAGTAAGAAATGGGAACAGTATTATTTTATTAAAACAATTTACTTAAGAATCCAGTCACTTAATATTATTAATTCTACATTTAAAAAAAAAAAAAAAACTTTTATAGCAGAAAGTATTTTTTTTAATTATAGGTTCACCATATTGCAGCTTCAACAAATCAAGCATCAGATTTTATTTCTTTGGTAAACTTGCTGACTATAAATCAGGAAACCATTCTTTATAGTGTATAAGGGTTTTTATGTCACTCTCCTAAAACACTTCTGAAAGAAACAAATATAACCAGCTACTATCTAAGATTAATGTTAGAGTCCTATAAGAAGGGCTTCCCTTTGGCCTACTGTTCAAATCCTAGGTCCTTACAGTTTTCTCTTGTCTCTTTTTAATCCCTCCCTGGCCTGTATGGTCTGTTCAAAACTCTGTATTTTTAGTCATTCAAATTCCATTTATAAGCCAAATCATAGCTTACCTGAACTGCTGTTAGAAAACTGCAAGTCTTGTCACCTCCCAAATCTACAAAAGTCTCTGTGTAAGTGTCTTCATGAGCAAGGTTTGGCCAATAGCGGATAGATCCTTCTCTGGTGGCAACCATTACAGCAACGGCCTTGAAATAAAACATAACGTAGTTGTGTTAGTTAATAAAAGAATGATTCAAAACTTGGAAGTCTGTTCCAGCAAAATGGGGCTCTAAGCAGAAGCACCACGCCAACCCTCCACAGCAAAGATCCAAAAAACTAAGCTGAACAGAGAAAACAACAATCCTGAAACCGTAAAACATCAAATAAAGAGATAAAGAACTCAGCCAGGCACCAAATGGAGTGAGTAAACCGACAGAGAACAGAGAGCGAGGACAGATTCATGCAGAGGTCCCCTAACAGCTAACACAGCGCGCATCCGCCATCTTGGACTCCTATCGGAGACCAGCAAACAGGGGGTACGAGAAAGCAGCTTCACTGAGATTCCAGCGCGAGACAAAACAACCGGTAATT